TTTCTACACTGCTAAAAAATTGGTTTCTAACTTGGGTCTTTCATCAGAGAGAATTGATTGTTGTGAGAAAGGTTGCATGTTATTCTATAAGGATGACGCATCTCTAGAGAACTGTAAATTTTGTAATCAGCCTCGTTTTAAGGAAGTCACAAATGCCAATACAAAAAAGAAAGTTCCAGTTAAAGTGATGCATTACTTACCTCTTATACCTAGGTTAAAGAGGTTGTATGCATCAATGAGTTCTGCTCCTCATATGAGATAGCACTACGAACATAGAAGGCCACCTGGTATACTCTGCCATCCGTCAGATGGAGAAGCGTGGAAGCATTTTGATAGGGTGTTCCCCGAGTTTGCTTGTAACGACCCGACCGGTCGTTTTCAGCTCTAGCGCGTCGTTCAGCAGTTTGAGGCCATGAGTAGCTTCATTTCAAGTATTACGACTAGTACGCGTGGCCGTAATTGAATTTCGGAAAGTGCGGAGTTGACTTGGAGAGGAAATTCTCATTTCGAAAGCTTTAAGTTGAGAATTGACTAGGATTGGATTTCAGAGTAAAGGACCTCGGAATCGGGATCTGAAGGTTCCAGCAGGTTCGTATGATGATATCGGACTTGGGCGTATGCCCGGATCGGGTTTTGGGTGACCTGGGAGCGTTTTGGCGCCTATTGTGGAAGTTAGCATTTTGGAACAAATTTCATAAGTTTGGGTTGAAGTGCATTTCAAGGTTATCGATGTCCGTTTGGGATTCCGAGTCTAGGAGTATCTCCGTATGGTGATTCTGGAGTTGGAAGCGCGATCGGAAGTGAATTCGGATGTTTGTGGAGCATTTTGGAGCCATTTGGCTAAAGATAGAAATTTGAAGGTTTTTGAGAAGTTTGACCGGAAGTGGATTTTTTGATATCGGGGTCGGAATCCGATTCCGAAAGTTGGAGTAGGTCCGAAATGTCGAATATGACTGGTGCGCAAAATTTGAAATCAATCGGACGTGATTTGATAGGTTTAAACATCGAAAGTAGAAGTTGGAAATTCTAAAGTTCATAAAGCTTGGATTGGAGGTCGATTCGTGGTTTTAGCATTGTTTGATATGATTTGAGGCCTCGAGCAAGTCCGTAATGTGTTTTGGGACTGGTTGGCATGATTGGTTGGGGTCCCGGGGGCCTCGGGTGGATTCTGGGTGGTTAACGGATCGAAATTGGAATTTTGGAGATAGCTGAAGGGGTCTGGTTGCTGGTATAACCGCTTCTGCGGAGGGTTCACCGCAGAAGAGGCCCCGCAGAAGCGAGGAAGGGAACCGCAGAAGCGGTTAGGTGTGAGAGGAGCAGGGACCGCAGATGCGGGGGTATTGGCCGCATCTGTGCAAGCGTAGAAGCGAGAAGAAGGACCGCAGAAGCGGTGATTGGCGCATGTGCGATGAGGGCTCCGCAGATGCGGACTCGCAGATGTGGCGAGGAATCCGCAGGTGCGGAAGTGCTGGAGACAGAATAGCTCTTTTAAAAATCGGGGTTTGGTCATTTTACCCCATTTTTCATTGGGTGTGGGCGATTTTGGAGAGCTTCAAGTGGGATTTTTCATCATCAACGACAAGGTAAGCTAATCCCACCAATCTTGAGATAAATATATCGATTATGTATGGATTTTATCATGTAAATTGGTAGAAATTTGGGGGTTTGAGGAAAACCTAGAAAATTGATAATCTTCGAATTTGACCACGATTTTGGAAATGAAACTGAGAGTAAATTATATATTTGAGTTCGTGGAGTCATGGGTAAGCTTAATCTTTGAATATTTTCGGAATCCGAGCACGTGGGCCCGAGGGCGTTTCTGTCAACTTTTTCGATCGGGGTTAGGAATTGTTATAAATTGGATTAATATAAGTAGTTTATCGTATATTAATGGAATTGCATAATCATTGGCTAGTTTTGGAGCATTTAGCATCGATTCAAGTCTTCAGAAGGGCGTGGAATGCCGGTTATGGATCTTCAGAGAGAGGTGAGTCTCCTTTCTAACCTTGTAAGAGGGAATTGTCCCCATAGGTGAAATAATTGGTTATGTGCTCCTATTTGTGGGGGATACGTACGCACGAGGTGACGAGAGTCCGTGCGTAGCTACTATTATGTTTAGGTCCGGGTAGTTTAGGACCCAAAAGCATGCTATACTTGGATTATTTGTAATCTTATTGACAGTTGAATTGCTTAAATCACATCGGAGTAACAAATGAATTTCTAAAAATATTTAAACTTCATTTCTTAAATTGTTAAAAGGAGAGTTGGTTTTTCTTCGGATCATTGTTTCCTGATGACTTCTTGATTGACTGTCTGTGTGTTTAAATTCTGGAACGGGCCGAACGCCTCGATAGATTAAATAGATGCATCTATGGTTCGCGCCATTCGACCCTCTGGCAGTGCACAGTTTAAATATTGTTGGATCGGGCCGTACGACCTCGGCATGATTTGCACATGCTTGTATTAGTTGCCTTGAGATTTTTTTGATATTAACATCTGCTCTCCCAACTTGAGATAATTGTTAATTAATGGATTATGAATACGGAGACTTTAAATAAAAAGGAACTTTCACCTGTTTAGTGACTCATTTGAATCTAATGTTGTTCTTAATAAATCCGTGAGTCATCGCATTAATAATATTATTACTGGACCTTTAGAAAGTGTCGAAGTTGCCATCTCGTCTCTACTTCTTCGAGATTAGACGGGATACTTACTGAGTACACGTTGTTTTCGTACTCATACTACACTTGCTGTGCATTTTTGTTGCACAGGTTTATGTGCGACTAGTGGCTTAGTGGCATAGCGGCATGGTTGGTACGGAGAATTAGGTGAGCTGCACTTATCGAGATGACCCGCAGCCAGCATAGTCTCCTTCATAGTATTGTACTGTATTTTCATTTCTGTCCACTTTGTATACCGGACAGTTACTGTATTTTATTTCATTCCCTAGTAAATGCTCATGCACTTGTGACACCGGGTTCTGGAATGTATATGGGTTTATTCAGAAATTTAAAATTGTTAAATGTTTCATTATTTATTCAAAGGAATTTATTATGTATTGTTTAAACGTATAAAAGAAGCGATTTCAGAAATATTTAAAACGAAAAGTTACTAGTTATTTGTGTTGGCTTGCCTGACAATGGTGTCCGGCTCCATCACGACCCTTAGTGGGTTTTGGGTCGTGACATTGCTAGTGAACCAAGAAACATTAGGTTGGGATTATGCACTAATGGATTTACTCCATTTGCTGTCTCTGCTGCACCAGAGGCACGACTTGGAGGGCCAGTTCAATGTAGATGGATGTATCCCTTTGAGAGGTAATGAAATTTAATCATTTACCTATTGTATTTGCTTTATAGATTGTTTTTTCTAAAAATAACACTATTAGGACTATTGGAAAATGTAAACGGACCATAAAAAATAGATCAATAATTGAAGGTTCGATATGCGAGGCATATGTGGGTAAAGAAACATCTTATTTCTGTTCATACTATTTTGAACATGATGTGCCATGTTTGATAAATAGACCGAATTGGCATGACGATGGAGGCAAAATCGATCCCTTTGGCACCACCCTTTTCCATTTTTAATCAACCAGGTAAAGGAGGTCCAAAAAATAGTCCAAAGCGAAGGTTGTCTGAGATGGAGCTAAAGTCAGCTACAACACATGTATTGTTAGATTGCCCTGAGGTCCAACCTTATTATAGGTAAGTATATATTTGTATATATTACGGACTTTTATATTAAATATACCACTAATTTAACTAAAAAAAATATTATAATGGCAGTTACTTTGTGGGTACATATGGGCAAGATGTTGTTTATCCCAAGTTTTCAGAGTGGTTTAAAGAATTTGTAAGTATTACTTATTATTTAACATGATTTTTATTATATGTAATTAATTATATATATTTTTAAAATTCTAAATTATATTTAATTATATATATAGGTTTATGATCCAGTTAATGGCATTAAAGACCCATTTTTACGTGATATAGCTTGGGGACCTAACCCTAGAGTAAGAATGATGTCTAAATACGTGGTCAATGGGTACAAGTTTCATACAGAAGAATGGTCTAATGGAAAGAAAACCAACAATAGTGGGGTGTGGGTGAAAGGTGATGGAGATGTTGATTATTATGGTGTGTTTCAAGAGATTTTGGAATTGGAATATGCTGTAGGTTGGCCGAAGAGAAAGTTGGTACTCTTTCGATGTAAATGGTATGATCCAACGCCGAATAGAGATACAAAGGTGCACGCTCAATACAACATAGTTGAAATTAAACACACGGGGCAATATAGACTTTATGATCCCTTTATAATTGCACAAAAGGTGAAACAAGTGTATTATGCTCCTTATCCGTTGAGCAAGAATAAGTCTGCATGGCGGGTAGTTTTGAAAACAAAGTCCGTGGGTAGAGTGGTAGTCGAAGATGCATTAGATGTGGCGTACCAGAATGACATTTCAAATGTTGAATCAATAGTGGATGATGAATTAGCAGATGAATTGCAGCATAATGAAGGGATATATGAAGAATTTGATCCTTCTGTCCTTGCTACAAATGAGGACGAAGATAGAGGTGTTGAACGTGAAACAAGTGATGAGGAAGAATTACTAGATGAAAGTGAAACATGCAATGATGAAGACTTAGATGATTACTATGAAGATAGAGATGAAGATTAACTTGTTATTCTTTTTTAGGTTGTTCTTCCTTTAATCATTTAATATTTTGCAGAATTGTTGTATGTTTTTTTATGAGATGTTAAACATTTTATGTTATTCCTTTAATTATCTATTATGTTGCAAAGTTATTTATATTTTTACGACTTGTTAGGTTGTTTATTTATTTCTTTAGTCGTTTAATTATTTTATATTTATTGTGACTTGTTGTATTTTTTGTTTTGTATTTTATTATGATTATATTACAGATATGGCATCTAAGGGGAAGGAAAAAATGAAATCTAAGAAGAAAAAATAATCTGTTCCAACTTTCTCAACTATGCCAAATATGAGCCATCCTCTTCCTCATCCTCCTCAGTCGACTTCATTGCCATCTACCATGTTCACTATCCCCCCTCCATCTAATAATTCAGTTCAGTATTATTCTATGCTTGCTAAAGGTAGTCAAAGTAACACCGTTTTTAACTTTGTACCCACACCTTCTATACCATTATCTTCACCGGTCTTTCATGGTAGTCAACATGGTGGCTCACCAGCTGTTGCATCCTCGATCTTTTATGGTAGCCAACATACTGACTCACCAACTGTTGCACCCCCGGGCTTTCATAGTAGTCAGCATACTGGGTCACCAGCTGCTGCACCCCCGAGCTTTCATGGTAGTCAGCATACTGGCTCACCAGCTGCTGCACCCCCGGGCTTTCATGGTAGTCAGCATACTGGCTCACCAGCTGCTGCACCCCCGAGCTTTCATGTTAGTCAGCATACTGGCTCACCAGCTGCTGCACCCCCGAGCTTTCATTGTAGTCAGCATGATGGTACTTCTTTTGTTGCTCCATCATCTTCCAGTCCATCATTATCATGCATTCCCAGCATATCTAGATTGGATATTGGAGGCTCTCGCCCAGCTATATCTAGTGCTGCTTTTGCACCATCTCGTAGACGCAGGCAGAATCTTGGAGGGGATGTACAATTTGATAGTTATAATCGATTGATAATCGTCCCCCGCAAGGATGGGTGTAACGACCCGACCGGTCGTTTTGATTTTTGAACCCCGTTCCCTTAAATAAGACTTCCAGCACTTACTTTAGCTAATTTATGACTTACGGGGACGGGTGGTTCGGAAGTTAGAAGAGTTTTGAGCAAGAATAAGTCTAGTTGCTTCTTTAAGTTTCTTTAAAAAGGCCAAGTTTGACTTCAGTCAACATTTTGGGGAAACGGACCCGGAATCATGATTTGACAATTTCTGAGGGTCCGTGGGAAAATATGGGACCTAGCGTATGCCCGGAATCGAATTCCGAGGTCCCTAGCCCGAGTAATGAATTTTTATGTGAAATTGTTAAGTTAAAGTTTCAAAGGTTTAAATAAACTAAGAAATCATTGTTTTCCTAGGTATCGGGTTCGGATTTCGATTTCGGAACTTGGTACAAGTCCGAAATATCAGTTAAGACTTACCCGTAAAATTTGGTGTAAATCCGAGTAGTTTAAGGGCGTTTTGACCCGTTGGACGAGAATTAAGAAATTGAAGTTCAATGATTTGATTCATTTGGTTTTGGGCTGATTCCTCGATTTAGCGTTGTTTTGAGTGTTTTGAGGGTTCGAGTAGGTCCGCCTCGTGATTTCAGACTTGTCGGTATGTTCGGGCGGGGCACGGGAGCCCCGAGCGTCAAACGAGCGAGGCTCGAGTGAAGTTAGAATTTGGAAAATGACTGAAGCTTGCTGCTTCTGTCATAACCGCATCTGCGGTTCTTGGACCGCAGAAGCGGCACCGCAGATGCGGTCATTAGATCGCAGAAGCAGAGAAGGGGCAGGCCAGGGGAAACCGCAAAAGCGGCCCAGGGACCGAAGAAGCGGTTCCCCCTATGCGGCCCCCAGACCGTAGAAGCGCTCGAGCCCCAAATCCCAAAAGCCGCAGAAGCGGCCAAATTCCGCAGAAGCGGATTCCGCAGAAGCAGAAATACTTCCGCAGATGCGAAAATAACTGGGGGAAGAAGGGTTCATTTAATACGAACTCAAACTCATTTCTCTCATTTTTCACTCTACACTTAGGCGATTTGGGTTCTTCCAAGAGAGGGTTTCCACATAACTTGGTAAGGTAAGTAATTTCCCTTCATCCTTATCTTAAATACATGTATATTAGGTAGATTAAACACCAAAAATTTAGTAAAAATCAAGAATTTGAGCTAGACCTAGGGTTTTAATAAAACTAAGAACTTATCATAAAAATTTGCCATGTAATGAACTAGAAATCATATATTTGTGATCCTTAGGTGATAGAGAACAACTTCCTTCGAAAAATCTCGGAATCCGGGCACGTGGGCCCGGGGTCGAAATTTAGGAAACTTGTGTTAATGGTTAGAAAATTGCCTAAATAGTTAGAGTTCGACCTTGTAAGCCTTTATTTACTAGTTCTTACTTCGTTTGATTAGTTTGGGATTGTTCGGCTTCGAATTAAGGACTTGGGCTCGTTCTTGGACATTGGAAGTGCACTTTGGAGCGAGGTGAGTCTCCTTTCTAACCTTGTAAGAGGGAATTGTCCCCATAGGATTATAAATGAGTAATTGTTGTTAAATGCGGGGGCTACGTACGTACTAGGTGACGAGAGTCCGTGCGTAGCTACTATAATGATAATTGTTCGGGTAGTTTAGGACCCACGTCATGTCTAATTGGGGAATATTTCTTGTTTTAAATTGCCAATGTGATCAATTATGATTTGCTAGAGACTTGAGGAAATGAAAAGTGAACTTATGAGTTTGTTGAGTCTTGGTAGGAATTCCCTTGTATGTAATTGAGCCTTATGTGCTTTCCTGATATTTTCTTGATGATTATGGACCGGGCCGATCGCCTCGGTGAGAATAGATGCATCTATGGTTCGTGCCGCTCGACCCTCGGCAGTGCACAATTTATTTTCTGTTGGAGCGGGCCGTCGACCTCGGCATGATTGTGCATGATCTATATGCTTACATTTTGATATGACATGATCACATGTTTAATATGAAAAAGGGAAAACTGGTAGTTTAATTATGTCAAGAACATGAATATGACTCTTCTCTTAAACTTGTGTTATTGGAAATTCTTCATGCTGTATATCTCACTTTATTATTATATTATCTTGCCCTTAGTAAGTATCAAGTCGACCTCTCGTCTCTACTTCTTCGAGATTAGACGGGATACTTACGGAGTACATGTGGTTTATGTACTCATACTACGCTTCTGTACTTAAATGTACAGGATTTGAGGCAGGTGGGTTTGGACATCATCCTGGTGCGCATTAGTGAGCACGCTTGGGGACTTCTACGGTGAGCTGCTTCTCTTTCATGCCGATCCGCAACCGAAGAAGTCCTTTCTTGTACTTTTTGCTTCTGTCTATTCTGATTCAGACAGTAGGATAGTGTATTATTCTTTTGCGTATATTCTACTAGTCGCCCGTAGCTTGTGACACCAGGTTCTGGCACACACAGTAGTAGACATTTATTTTGGGGTTGTATCATTATTTTAACACTTTATGATCTTTACTGGTCTTATCTTTAAATTCAAAAATCTAGTATAACTGTCTTTGGCTAAAGTAAAATGAGAACTTAATCACACCACATCGGCTGGCTTGACAACGGTGTTAGGCGCCATCATGACCTATTATGGAAAATGGGTCGTGACAACATGGTATCAGAGCACTAGGTTCACGTAGGTCTCACAAGTTATGGGCAAACCTAATAGAGTCTTGTAGATCGGTACGGAGACGTCTGTATTTATCTTCGAGAGGCTATAGGGTGTTAGGAAAGACTACTCTTTATTCATTTTCCATCGTGCAGTGGTCAGTGTACCAAATTTCCTCTTCTATTCTCTCACAAATGGTGAGGACTCGTACCGCCGACGTTCCGGACCCGGGAGGAGCTGCTCCCCCCGTTGCTAGAGGCCGAGGTAGAGGCCGGGGGAGGGCACCGGCCCGTGGTAGGGGGTGAGGGCGTCCCAGAGTTATTCCAGTTGCACCACCAGTGGACCATGCGAGGGATCCCATTATTGAGGAGCAGGGTGAGGCGCCCGCAGCTGTGCCTACTCCCGTGGATTTCATAACTGCGCCGGGATTTCAGGAGGTCATGGGCCGTATGCTTCGGTTCATGGACACTATGACTCAGGCGAGCGTCATGAGGATGCCCAGGATTTCATTGACAGGTGCAGGGATAGACTGCACAACATGAGGATATTAGAGTCGCATGGAGTCGACTTCACTACTTTTCAGCTGGAGGGAAGGGCCCGTAGATGGTGGCAGTCTTATTTACTTAGCAGGCCAGCAGGCGCTCCTCCCCTCACTTGGGGTCAGTTCACTCAGTTGTTCCTTGATCGGTACATTCCACCCTCTGAGAGGGAAGAGCTGCGTCATCAGTTTGAGTATCTGGAGTAGGGTCATATGTCAGTGACCGACTATGAGGCGAGGTTCTCTGAGTTGTCTCGCCATGCACTCATGATACTCCCCACAGAGGCAGAGAGAGTACGGAGGTTTGTTGCGGGGTTACATCCCACTATCCGGTCGGGTATGGCTCGTGAGGTAGAGATGGGCACTGGATATCAGCTAGTACTTGAGATTGCCCGTAGGATTGAGGGTTACCGTTTGAGGGGTAGAGAGCAGATGCAGCAGGATAAGAGGGCCAGATTCTCAGGAGAGTTCAGAGGCGCCCCAGCCAGGGGCAGAGGTCACTTTGGGAGGGGTCAGCCCAGTAGGTCCCCAGTTCCAGCACTACCACCGGCTCGGGGTGCTCCAGCGCGCTCCTATTTCAGCGCCATGCCAGAGAGTTCTTATCGCCCGCCAGCTATTCAGGGTTCATCCAGTAGGTATTCAGGTCCTCCGGAGTCTTCCGGTTCTTATTGCAGTGCTATACCGTAGAGTTCTTACCGCCCGCCGGCTATTCAGGCTTCTTCTAGTGGGCCTTCTGGTATTCAAGGTCAGCCATCCGGACAGCAGGCCGCCGCACCATGTTGTTTTGAGTGCAGGGACGCAGGCCACATGAGGAGATACTGCCCCAGGCTTAGGGGCAAGGCAGTACAGCAGGGGCAGCAGCCCATGACTCCAGCACCAGCGGTCCAGCCGCCTAGAGGTGGAGAGCAGACTGGTAGAGGTCGTTCCAGGGGTAGAGGCCAGACAGGGAGAGGTCAGCCAGCTACTACTCAGTCAGTTGGGGGCCAGACAGCCGGTGCTCCAGCTAGATTCTATGCTCTCCCAGCCAGGCCAGATGCATTGGCCTCAGATGCCGTCATCACAGGTATTATTTCCGTCAGTGGTAGAGATGCATCGGTATTATTTGATCCAGGGTCTACTTATTCAGATGTATCATCTCTGTTTGCTCGTTTCCTGGCTATTTCTCCTGAGCCTTTGGGTGTTCCTGTTCATGTGTCCACTCCTGTGGGCGATTCTGTGGTCGTGAACCGGTCTACCGATCTTGCGTGGTTACTTTCTGTGGTCTTGAGACTAGAGTAGATCTCCTGTTGCTCGATATGATCGATTTTGAGGTTATTCTGGGCATGGATTGGTTATCTCCATATCACGCCGTTATAGATTGCCATGCCAAGACTGTTTCTCTAGCGATGCCAGGGTTGCCCAGATTGGAGTGGAGGGGTTCCACTGTGGATACACCTAGCAGGGTCATTCCTCTGAGCTCACGCATGGTCGAGAGGGTGTNTTCAGTGCCAGTAGTCCGAGAGTTCGCCGATGTTTTTCCTTCCGATCTTCCAGGCATGCCACCAGATCGTGATATTGATTTCTGTATTGATTTGGCTCCAGGCACTCAGCCTATATCTATCCCGCCGTACCGTATGGCTCCTAAGGAGCTGAAGGAGCTAAAGGAGCAGTTGGAGGAGTTGTTAGCTAAAGGGTTTGTTAGGCCCAGTGTATCGCCTTGGGGTGCACCAGTGCTATTTGTGAAGAAGAAGGATGGGACTATGCGGATGTGCATTGAGTACCGCCAGTTGAACAAAGTCACCATCAAAAACAATTATCCATTACCCCGTATTGATGATTTGTTTGACC